AGAGCTGTGAAATTTATGGGTGTAGTCAAGTCTCTTCAGAACTAGGGCTCAGTTGAGGTCCTTTGGTTTTTCATACAGGGACAGAGGGGAGGAGAAAAATGAGCATTTCAGGAAGATACCCACCCATTGTGGCAGGGAGATTCCCCCAGCTGGGAGCAGTGGCCTGTGGTCACCAGCAATCCCTGCTGACTCCGCACCCTCCAGGGAGGGCAGAGGACCCAGCTCTGGGCTGGCAGGGGCTGCCCTTGGGTGGTGAGTTACCAGCTGCAGGTCACAGCACGTTTTCTGAGTGGAAGCCCATCCCCAGGCTGCGGTCCCCGAGCCATTTGGGACAGCAGGCAGCAGCGAGCTGGTTTTTCACCAGTGTGGGTGAGGAAAGTCCTCAGCAGGACCAAGTGGTGGCCGATGGTGATGTTTTCTGACAGGTGGAGGACTGGGACCATCTCAGGTGCCCAATTTCAATTGTGGGGGCCTGAACCTTGACTCTTCCCTCCTTTCCTTTCTAGCACATGTTGAAAGAAGACGAAATGTTTAAAGACTTTGCGACTCGCTCTCCTAGCACCAGTATAACAGATGAGGACTCCAACGTGTGACAGTAACCACCAGGCACTGACGAAGGCTCACTTTCCTACGTGCAAGAAACGTCATCATTATACATGATGGGCAGCAGATCATGTACATTACATTGCTCTTGCTTCTGTTTGTTAGAAGTAACATTGAGGGGTGGAGAATTTTAAAAGAACAAAATAAAAGGTGCCTACTCTGAAGTTGCCATAAGAAACACCCCGACACTGGTGAATGGTAATTGTTTTTACTATATTTAATGTACAAACTAGTGATATGTTTCAGAGTGTTGCATTTAAATTTACATGCTATGATAGTGCTCCTTATGCTTATTCACGGCCTCAGATAATCCTTTATACTGTTTCAGAATAACAGAATGTGTTAGGTTAGAAGTATTGTGTCTGTAGATATTGTGCATCAGCTTTCTCTAGGCTCTCCGCTGGAAAAAGATGTTTCTGCTCTTTTTGAAGTGCGTTTGTTCAGCACAAATACCAGTTCTGCCCTTCCTACAGTGTCCAATGTAGGATTTTAGTCATCTGTGCCCTGCATAAACTCCCCAGTAGCTCTTGACTGTTGCTCTTATTTTTATACTGTTTTATAAAAAAAAGAAAAAAGTATATGAAGTACATATAAAAACAAAAATTTAAATTTTGTGAGATAGAGCGATGGAAAGTTTGAGGTGGGGGGGAAGGGGAGGGGATTGTAAAAAGAAATATGCCAGTTTGCATACCAGCTGGTTACTGGAAAAGGCAGGCTGACCTTTGGAACTGTTTGCTTTCCTTGCTTTTTACTAAGTGCACAGTTTAATGATCTTCCATTTGGGATGAAACAATTATAAAGCATGTTTCTGTAGCAGTGACTTGTATGGAAACTGCACATTTTAAAAAGTCTTCTTTCATGTTCCCATCAGCAGTAGTTGTAGTGTTCAAATAAGGTTATTAACACCTCTGTAACTTAAAAAAATTCTTAAAGTTGAGAGTACTCCCTGCATATGGAAGGGATATTTCTGTGCTGTGACTAACATAAAGATGATGTAGTTGCAAAAAAAAAAAAGTTATATAGAGAAATGTATAGCAAATATATTATTTCATAATATTAAACCTAAGGTGGGACTTTTCCTCCAAAACTTAAATATCAAATGTCGCTCATCATTTTACCTTCTTGAAGCACAGCTCCTCTGCTTTTGAAGATCATAAAATTTTAAAAATCCTAACTGGCCAATGGAAATCTTTTGTCAGACTTTTGGTATTGCGAGGTGTCCTAGCCAAAAAGCAAACAAAAAGAAGTAACTCTGTTAATTACAGTGGTCGTTTGTATGGTGTTGAAATTTGCATGTATTTTAGCCAAATGGCATGAAGCTTCTTCGCTTTGTAAAGGCAAAAAAAAAAGAAAAAAAGAAAAAGTACAGCTGGAATTGCTCCTTGTGGTGGTGTGCTGCTTTACCAGGCGTTTGTCACTCGTTTCATTGCTCTCTGTGCTGGAACCGAGACCGTTTCCAGCACGTCGCTGTGTAGTGTGAGGGGTGTTAGATCTGTGCTGACTTTGCGTTGGTATTTCTGAGACGGCGTTAACAAAGCTGGGAAAGGAAGAAAGGTTCTTTCAGGGGCTTCCAGGGAGCTCCCATCAGATTCTGAGGAAGATTGGAGTCATAGTCTGGCATTGTATTATTGTAACCTGATAAGCTGTTACCAGCCTGGTTCTTTGAGGGTTCTGCAGCGTAGACTGTCATTTGTGTGCCAAAATGAAAAATTTGATATGGACTGGCTGCATTTTATCACTTATATAACATAATATCAACTGCTGCCATTTTTTTCTTTAGTAACTGGAGTCAGGCAAACCACCCAGAACATATACATTAAATAGTTTGTGTTTCTTACCATTACAAACAGATCGCAGCTGATGCTTTGTTTGATACTCCAGACTTAACTCCTGTCTGCAAATAATTTGCTGTCTGTTGCTTCTTTCTTTACAGTCTTTGAGCTTTTTTTTAATCCGGGCAGAAATACCGTGCTGTGTGACACCTGCCATCAGCTTTAGGGTGCAGATGCTTGGGATGTGAATTGAGGACTCACTTTCTATGAATACTCTGCAGTGTGGTGGTTGTTTACATTTAAGCTGAGCTTAAGGCTCTGCTCATTCAAATGCTGCAGAAGCACAGGGAAGACATGGTGCAGGCTTCAGAGCAGAAGTTTTCTTTCTGATTCGCTCTCACTAGGTGCTGGTTGAGAACATGGCTGGATACTCATGGTGAGAAAAGGGGGCTAGTGACAGTGTTATGTGCTGAAATGGGCACAGATACTCCAGTTTTTCTTCAGTCCAGTGCTATTGTCAAGTGTATTGACAGTGGCAGGTGATAGTTTATATAAACCCAGAGCAAGCAGTGCTGTGCTCCAGGCAGCACTTCTCTGCACTCGCTGGTTGGAAGCTGGGGGTTCCCCTCAAAGCTGCCCATCATCTGAGCCTTGGGGCTTTTATGGGGATGGAATGTGAAAGCACATGGTGAAGTCAGGAAGTTCATGTGCGCGTATGCACACAAGTGATACCGTCAGGCTGTTTTAATTTGTGCGTGTTTGAAGAGGGCAGCATGACTACTGTGTATTGCCGTGTAAAACCTAATAAAGTCTGTGGAAAATGCCAGGTGCTTCTGGAAGCTGGTTCCTTTGTAATGTATCTTCTTTTTTTGTTCCCTTTTTATTTCTCTAGGAAGCTCATTTTATTCACTTTAAAAGATAAAGGAGGGGGAAGGGGCAAAGTTGCATGATTTTTGTGAATGCGTTAGTTCATTTGTCGATAGTGGCTGCAGAAGGACTTGACTAACAGCTAAGAAATCAGCTGACCCCAAGTTTTTTTACTTATTTTTGGGATCCAGATTTGAACCTCCTTGGATTGTTTGGTATGGCTTCCCCATTGCTCGATGTGTGCTCCTTGGGGAGCCCTGGCAGGGTGCTGAAGGAAGGACCAGCTCTGTCCCTTCTTGCTGTAAAGGGCAACCATTCTCTGGTCCCAGGTGTCATTCCCCTCCCCGTGCCTTGCACCCTCAACAGTCACAGGAGCTCCAGCTACTTTGCTAGTAGGAGTTGGGTTCGCCCAAACTACATTTTGTTGCTGGGGTGCAGATAAAAATACTGCTCGGTGTTTTGCCCAGTGTAGCCCAGATAATAGACCAGAAGGTGAGAACCTTTATCTCACGGCCTTAATTTCTGTGGTTTGGTTCATCAGCTCAGCATTTCAGTGGGAAAGCTGAGGAAAGTATTTGTTGCATCCTGGCTTTCTCTTTAGGAGCGACGTTGCACTTACCCTACTTGTGTGCTTTTTGTACCTTGCACTGCTTTGTTGGTTGGAACGTTTATTGCATGCTTCATGCTTCACCTTAGCATTTTGGCATTTTCATTTCCAGCAAGAGCTTTTCCTACTGAGCCTCTTTATCCTTAGCTGGGAGGAAGAAGATGATGCTGTTTGAGGCAGCAAAGGGACAAAACCTTCTGAGTTGCCAGTAGCTTTGATGCAGCAATCAGCAAGGAGAGAATGTTATGTGCTGAGGAACCCTTGAATAGAAGGTAAGTCAGAGTTATGGTCAGGCATAACAGAGTAGCAGCACACTCCCTAATCATAGCTGTGGAGGAATGGAGATGGGAAGAATAGAGGAATGGGAAGACTTGTGGAAGACACATAATACATAGGATATGGTCTGTTTCTTAGAGAGAGCGACCCAAGACCCAAGGGCAGCAGCAGGACTGAGCGGCCTATCCACCTAAGAAGATGTTTCCCTGAGGTGGTAGCACAAAAACATCTGTAGGCAGAAGAAGAGAGAGAGCAACTGAAGATGTTTGATCGACGAGAGTAAAGAGGGCAGAGAAGGACACAACTGATGCCACTGACAGTAGCAGCAGTTAATATTGGGATACAGGCAACAACGCATCAAGAAAGAGCACTGTGTCACGTCAAGCACCCTGTAGAAGGCTTCAGGTTTGGATGTATACCCTTCTCTGGGTGATTAAAAGAAACAGGTTCTTCCATCTCCAGGAAACACCCAGTGCCAATAAAATGGCTTCTCTGTAATAGTCCTAGAAAGGAGACAGATGAGATAAGATCAGAATGGAATGAGATAGCATCAGCTAAAGAAATGATGCCAGAATTAACGATAAGGAAAACTAGCCCACATGAATTCAGTAGATGTGAAAGTAACTGGGCCTGTCAGGCTGGTCGGCGCTTAGTCAGCTGCGGAGAAAAAAAAACCAGCAGAAAGCTCCCCTGCCCAGCAGGACAGCAGCCTGCTCAGGGAGCTCAGATCTGCTGCTGCTGTCACCTTCATCTGAAAGGCAGCAGGTAACCATGGGTGCGCTTAATGGTTCTGGCTGAACCTACAGAGCTCTTGCTGGAAAAAGGACTTCCCCAAGGCAGTCTGCCTGTGGAGACAGCCTCCTCCTGTACAGAAAATGGGCTGGAAGGTCTCCTGTGAGGACAACCAGAACAAGGCTGAAATTTTAGGCATCTGTGAAGTCTTCGGTCAAGGTGTGGTCCATGCATCTCAAATGCTGAAGGACTATCTCAGTTTCATGGATCCTCAGAGCAAATTCCATCCAGCCACGGACATGCTGAGAGAGAGATCTTTTTGGTCGACTTCGTCAGCTTCTGTGTGAAAAGGGAGTGGAGGAATGTATCATCACCAGCAAAATGACCAAGCAGCAGACCTCCCTGTTCGGGGTGGACTGGATCTGGACTCTCTCTGGAGCTGACAAGCAAATCAAACTTCAGATCACCGTGCAGGCTTCACAGCCAGCTGAGCTTTTCCATAGCAAAGGTGGCCCCACTGACGTGGCAGAGGACTGCTGCTGGGAAGCTGCCCTGGCAGATGAGAACTTCCGAAACAGGAGCAGGTTTGAGAAGCCAGCGGAGTTCTGCCGCCTGGTGGGTCAGAACTGCCTGGGCTTGTTCATCGTGTTTGGTGTGCGAGGGAAGCCCAAAGGACAGCTGAGGAGTCATGCTAGACAGTATTGCCAAGGAGGAGCAAAAATGCCAGCAATTTGTCACCAGGACTGACAGCTTCCTGCCCGCAAAAGACATGTTCGAAACTGCCTCAGCGCAAAAAACAGGCTGAAGGAGGTGGGCAATGTGCACATAAGCTTTCTGTAACCAGCTGTTTAACAACAGTAGCTCACGGCACGCCAGCACCAGAGGCTGTTGGGCTCAGCTCTGCCTCTTTCTTGCTTTTTCTCTTTGCGCACCATTCCCTTCACCTCCTTGTTTTCCACCTTCCCCTCCCCCCCCCCCCCACACTCATGTTCCATTAGCTCCTGCAGAAGCCAGGCTGAGTCAGACTCTCTAGGTTTTAAAACAACAGGACGTACCTGCCAGAAAAATGTGTTTATAGAAGGCACGTCGTTTTCCCAGAACATTTTGTTCACCAGGCATTAAGTCTTGGCTGGAACTAAGGAAAGCTTTATTGCCCTGAGCCTTTGGGAGGTCGTGGTAGATTTGACTCACAGTCTTTCTTAACTTGGTGGCAGATTTTATTTTTTTTTTCTGTAATAGGAGGATGAGTCTGTAATAAATAAAATGTACTAGTGCTGGTCGCAAGATTTGCATTGAGCAGGAAGGGTGATACTGAGTCTTAACAACACTCCTCCAGCTGGGAGGAGGGAGCTGGTTCCTTGTGCTAGAAATGGGCTCATGAGAAACCTATTAATTACCTGCCCCTTAAAAGTAGATCAGTGCCAGGCTACGGAGGGCCGCAGAGCTGTGACTGAATTGCTGGAGCAATTCCCAGCTGGAAAGCCTGCGTGGCTTGTATTAGAAGTTTTGTGACCAGCAGAAGAAGGGGGGTGATTGTCGCTCTGTACTCAGCACTGGTGAGGCCACACCTTGAGTATTGTGTTCAGTTTTGGGCACCTCAGTATAGGAGAGATATCAAGGTGTTGGAGCGAGTGCAGAGGAGGGCAACAAAGCTGGTGAGGGGCCTGGAGAACAGAACTTATGAGGAACGATTGAGGGAGCTGGGTCTGTTCAGTTTGACGAAGAGGAGGCTGAGAGGGGACATCTTCATGCTCTACAATTACTTGAAAGGACATTGCAGAGAGGTTGCTGCTGGTCTCTTCTCACAGGTAATTAGGGACAGAACCAGGGGGAATGGTTTCAAGTTGCAACAGGGCAAGTTTAGTCTGGACATTAGGAAGAAATTCTTCACAGAAAGAGTGGTCAGAAACTGGAATAGAGTGGTCAGACACTGGAATAGACTGCCTAGGGAGGTGGTTGAGTCGCCATCCCTGGATATGTTCAAGTGTCGTTTAGATGGGGTGTTGCATGATAGGGTTTAGGGGTGAACTTGTAGTGTAGGGTTAATGGTTGGACTCGATGATTCCAAGGATCTTTTCCAACCGGAATTATTTTATGATGCTATGAAAAAGAAGTAGCAGGTGTTAAAGAAAACATGGGGGAAAATCAGCCAACAGGGACAAAAACCTGGCCATGGAGACGGTGGGAGGGTTTGCTTTTCATGGCAGCAGAGGCAGCTCATGACAGAGACCAAAAGTCTAGAGGAGGCAAAATTATTTCACTTGTGCTCTATTTTCAGTAGCTTAGCAGCTGATTGCATGTGTGGACTGATCTCTTCCATTGGACTGATTGACCACAGACCTGTCAGTCTCACCTCAGTGCCCAGCAAGACAATGGATCCTCCAGAAGTCTCTGCTAAGGAAATGAGGTGATTGGTGGCAACCTACGTGGCTTCACAAAGGGCACATCCTGTCTGACAAATGTGGTGGTCTTGTATGATGAAGTTATAGCACTAGTGGATAAGGAAGGAGCAACTGCTGCCACTGGACTTGTGCAAAGTGTTCAACATGGTCATGCATGACATCCTGGTCGCTAAATTGGAAAGACATGGATTCCATGGATGGGCCACTCAGTGGATGAGGAATTGTCTGGATGGCTGCTCAGTGGCTTGATGTCCAAATGGAGACCCATGACAAGTGGTGTTTCTCGGGGTCGGGACTTCTGCTCTTCTAACATCCGTGTTGGCAACATGGGCAGTGGAGTCAAGTGCCCCCTCGGCAAGTTTGCCGACGACACCGAGCTGTGTGCTGCGGAGGGAAAGGATATCATCCAGAGAACCTTGACAGGCTGGAGAGGTGGGCCCATGCAAACCTCATGAAGTTCAACAAGTCAGGTCCTACAGCTGGGTTGGGGCAATCCAAAGCACAAATACAGGCTGGGCAATGACTGGATTGAGAGCAGCTCTGCTGAGAAGTATTTGAGGGTGGTGTTTGATGACACAGTCAACAGTGTGTGCCAGCACCTCCCAAAAAACCCAACCATATCATGGGCTTCATCAAAAGAAGCATGGCCAACAGGTCAAGGGAAGTGATTCTGCCCCTCTGCTCTGGTAACACCTCACCTGGAGGATTGTGTCCAGCTCTGGCGCCCGCCCCCGCCCCCCCCAACATAAGACACGGACCTGTTGGAGTGGGTCCAGAGGAGGACCACAAAGATGATCAGAGGGCTGGAGCACCTCTCCTACAAGGACAGGCCGAGAGAGTTGGAGTTGTTCAGCCCAGAGAAGAGTCCGGGGAGACTTCATAGCAGCTTTCCAAGACCTGAAGGGAGGCCTACAGGAAAGATGGAGAGGGACTCTTTATCAGGGAGTGTAGTGACAGGACAAGGGTTAACACTTTCACACTGAAGGAGGGTAGATTTAGATTGGCTATTCGGAAGAAGGAAGGGTGGTGAGAGCCTAGAACAGGTTGCTCAGAGAAGCTGTGGATGCCTGATCCCTGTAAGTGTTCCAGGCCAGGCTGGATGGGGCTTTGAGCAACCTGGTCCAGTGGGAGGTGTCCCTGCCCACGGCAGGGGAGTTGGAACTAGATGATGATCCTTGAAGTCCCTTCCAACTCAAACCATTCACTGATTATTTCCCTCAGCTTTTAGTGGACAAAATGAGACTTCTTGGTTGCACAAAGTTGCTTTCTTTAAGGCACTGTTAAACAGTGAAGGAAGATCTGATCAGTTTTTCAGACTTGTAAACTCTATTTATTATAGCCACCTGAACAGTTTCATCAGTGCAAAACTCCTCTGCCTGTAGTTTACTTGTAATTTTACTCATTTTATTTACTAGAATAAAAAGTAATTTCAAAAGCTCATGCATGTTTTACTAGTTACTATGTGAATTATAAGATGGGGCAACTGCAAGAGCTGAGAAATACAGCCTGTTATTTACAAAGCCGTTAAAAAAAAAAAAAGGCATAAAAAAAAAAAAGCTGCAATGTCAGTGCTAGAATTGTTTGCAGCACTCCATGGTGTAGGTGTGGAGTCTGAAAAGTGAACTAAAAGACAAACACATAGAGACCTTGAAATTTTTGCCACGTCACAAACGTAGTTGGTTGCAGAGAAGGGAGGCCCTTCTGTTTTGAAATAGTTCATTGAGCTACAACTGTTTATAACAAGGTGATATCATTGTGGGGTTTTGGGTGTAACAGGGCTTTGGGTTTGTGTGTTCCCCCCGCCCACTCCCGACTAAAGTAACAGCGTAACCAATACAGTAGCAGGATTGATTGGTTTATAAAATGTCAGCAGAAAAGCTTTAATTTTGCATTTAAATTGTGTCTCTCTCAAGTCTAGGAGAGCTGTTGCTCAAAGTGCTTGGGCTTTTCCCTTTGGCTGCTTTGCATGATTTCTTTGGTGTTGAAAAGGGAAAAAGTATTTAACAATCTAAGTAAGTTTGACCATGTGCATTTACTCAGCCAAACTGGACGCTCAGCTGAGGTGACTCAGACATATCATGAGCGTCTGAAACTGCACATACTGATTTACCAGCTAAGCAAGACTGTTTAATCCCCAGACAGTTTAATCCCATGATAATAATTTGTGTAATAAGGTTAGTAAAAGCAAAGTGAATACTACTGCTACCCCCTTATACCGTTCAAGCACAGGAAGTCACACATCCCTGCTGCCCCACTCCCCTTGTGCTGTTCCCCTGGTCACGCCCAACCCACGTGTAAGAAATTACAAACACAAGAGAGGGCCTGGCTGCTGTGCTGTCCTGTTCTCTGAAAAAGGATCAAGAGGAGAAAAGCTCAAGAACAATATGTGGCTCTTTTCTGCAAATCAAGATAGATATTTTTACCAGAAACCTTTGGAGGACACTATTAAACCTGAGGCAACACGTATTTTCTTACCTGTCATACAGTGCCTTGAAAGATGTAGCGGGAGTGAGATTAAGGAACAGCTTGTTCCTTACCTCCTTCCTCTCAGATCTGCTGCCGCAAGAGCAGCAGTACCCAGAGAAAGGCCCCTGCCCTGGGGAAGCATTCCCTGGCAGAGGTGGGAATGGATACCTGCCTTTGCTCAGTGCTAAGTCAAGGGGACCTGCCTCCGGTAAAGCCAAAGCAGCAGCAGCCCCTTCAATCCTGTTTCTCTCAGGAAACTTGCCACAAGATGCCTTTCAAGCAGGAGATTCGTGTTTTCCCAGCTGCTTTGTAACAGGGAGGTTATCAGTAGTCAGCACACCCTGTCAGAAAACTGGAGGAATACTTATATTTTCTGAGATGGGTGAATCGGCTCAAAGAAAAAAAAATATGTGTCACTGACTGGTTTAAATGCCGTAGTACAGGAGCATTAAGCAAAAGGGAGACTGTGACACATTTTAGTTTCAATAGATTATATAAAATCCCTCTTTTTTTATTAAAAGAGCCTCATGTTCACAAGAAAGATGTATAAAATAAAGGCAAAAAGAGGAGATCAGAGCAATAGGGAGAAAAACTATTTACTCCTTGACTCAGCATCCAAATACAGCAGTTGTCACTGAACTCAATCAAAAAAAGAGACAAGCACTTGAGTATACAAACCTAACAAGGCTGCTTTTTTTTTTTTAACCTTCACTTTATAGATGGTTTGATAATTATGGTTTGTCTCTTATGAGATACTTTATTTCTTACACATATGTGAAAAAAGCTAGTAATTGAATCAGCAGAGTAATACAAAATAATTGATGCATAACCAGCTAGGTTTTTCTTACAAGAAAACTTCATTAAATACAATATTTAAAAAAAACTGTGTATCCCACAGTGATATAAACCAGCAGCAAGATAATTTCTCTCGTATTCTTTTGCCTCCTAAAATGTGACTGAAACTTAATCATG